CCTATATTATAATGAGCTCTCATATCAGATTTTTAACCATGTCCATTTTTGAGTTCTTTGTTATTTCTAGTTATTTTTCTGATGCTTTTGCAAAATGTGTTTCCTCTTCAAGGAGACTCATAAAAGGAACTTTTGACAAATATAGTTATTTGATATCTTTAAGATTATAAAACTAAGCTAAATAAAAATTTCTAGAACTAACAGAAAAAGCTGCATTCAAACAAGAATTAATAACATGGAGCTAAATGGATAAAGATGATTATAGTTTTTTATGACTCTGACTTAAAAGATTGTTGGCTCTCTAATGTTTGCTCTTTCAGATTAAGGAAACTTTCTCTTAAAATATCCATGATCTACAGAAATATGATAAAAATATTCCTTTATGGGGCGCCTGACATCTGAAAATCTGGCAGCATTCAAGACTTAGGCACTGGGTTTGTCATTTGCTCCAACCATTAACCTGTGTTTTACTTTTGTTTCCATAGAAAATGCCTCTTCCCAATTACTTGACTGCTTCCTGACTAAGGCAGAATCTCTGTGATGGCTAACACCACTTACTGCCCCTATGATGAACTCCCCCTGGGAAATAGAATCCGTATAGATAAAATCAGACAGCAAGTCCCTTGGCAGCAAGAAGCCCTTGACCGCCAGGCCTGCCTTTGCAAGGTGGTGGGGACTGGTTTACTCAGCTATTCTCTTGGATACCCACTGATATCAATTTTAGAGGGAATGATGGGTTTAACTGTAATGTTACTTTTCCATAAAATATACTTGGGGTTAAAATTAATGATGTCATATAGTACCAAACTATGTGGGAAAATATCCAAGTTCTCTATCTCTGATAGTTCCCTTCTATTAGCACAAGGAACCAAGGATTGCATCCTATAGCGTTTCATTTCCTTCCATTGTAAAGCCCCTACTGCACCCCAATTCATCTTGAAGCAGTGACAGAAGATGGGCCTCCACCCATGTTCCGTAGAAGTGGAATGAAGGACTGACAGTGGGAAATTACAACAGGAAAAAAACTTAGCATGTCTCACTCCATGTTGCTTCTATTTCCCTTGTTGCTAGAACCTTTAAATTAAAAACTTCTGCTTAGCCCAGGGCATAGGCATTGCACAGCTAAGATCTGCAAGAATGGCTCTTTACCCCAAACCTACCTCACCTGAAGAAATAAAGAAGTGGCCAAAGTGGTCATCATTTTGGTTCTTCGACAGTAAGGAAAGATCGTAACTTGGGAGAATTGGGTTAATAAAGTTAAAACTAACAAAAAATTTAAAACTTGTTTTTCAGACAACCATTTCCCCCCATCAGCTAGTGTGTCTTTTCAGACCCTACTAACAATCTCACTAGCTGTCCCTGCAGAAGCCTGGACTCAAGGCCAGTTGATATGGCTCCAGCCTGGGAACAAGGCTGTGCATTTCTTTTTCTTTTTCTTTCTTTCTTTTTTTTTTAAAGATTTTCCTTATTTATTTGAGAGAGAGAGAGTGAGAAAGAGCATGAGAAGGGAGAAGGTCAGAGGGAGAAGCAGACTCCCCACGGAGCTGGGAGCCCCGGGACTCTGGGATCACGACCTGAGCAGTGGCTTAACCGACTGAGCCACCCAGGTGCCCAAGGCTCTGCATTCCTCATCAGAGACAACGAGCCTAAGACCCCATCTAGGTCATACCAGCTCTTGGCGCTGGCCCAAAGCCCTTTCTCTTTATCCTAAGAAAACCTCCTGATGTGAGGGACTATTTTGCCTTCTTCTGATGTTAAGTCTCTGCCCCGAAGAAACATGGGACTATATGTTATGTTTGCCCCATGCACATGCTTCATCTTTCACATAAATAATCATAAATTTCCCTACCCTTTTATCAAAATGTATGTAAAGGATTTTTTGGATTTTTTCTTCTAAGTCTGTTTTAACATCACATTAGTTTCTTCAAATTCTGCTTATCGGAATTCTTTTATGGTCCATATGTCTTTGTTATAAATGTTACATCAAAACTAGACAATCTAAGTCAAGCACGTGTGCTATGTTTGCTCGCCATTTGGTCTTAATAGAGAATATATATCACTTCTAAGCTTCCCACCATTTATATTACAATAAATTTTCCTCAACAAAGAGCTCTAGATAATATATAAGATATATATATTTTTATATACAATATATAAAATATATATCATACACATATGCATACATTATGTACGCATATGTATATTATGTGTGTGTGTGTGTGTATTTATTCCCCCCCACACACCTAGCAACGAGGGACTTGACATACGACAAGCCAGTCATCCTGGAGCCAAGAGACATAAAATAAGGTTGATCTTCAATGCTTTCTGAGGAAAGATTAGTGATCCAAAGGGGGAAACGATAAAGGAAATTTTCAACTTTCAGTGTTTGTGGGCCCTGCCCCTGGGCTCCCAGGGAAGCTCGACTGTTAGTTACCAAGATCAGAATGACTTCACCAAACTTCAAAGCACGAGCTCTACTGCTGCCCCGAGCGCGCATTGTACATCTGTTCGCAAATAACCTAAAAGAAACATTTCAGACTAAAGATGAGAGTAACAATCTCCCTAAGTTCTGTTCCCATACTTCTGAAGCCTGCAGCCTTGCACATAAAGTTTGTGATTTTTCTGAAATGTCCTTCATCATGGTGATTTGTAACTCTTGATGTAACAAAAAACCACATATAACCCTGTAGTAAATGTTCGTTCTCAGGAGCACTCTCTTCTTTGTGAAGATTGTGGATCCCGGGGCAGCTGTCCTCACTTGGGCTCGAATAAAACTCTCTTCCTTCTTTTTTTCCTTTTGCAATTCTCAAAGGTTTGCTCATTTTGCTGCGGACAGAGGGACTGAGACTCTTGACCACCAGGAAATGGCTCCTGTCGAGGGTGGTGGGAAGGCTGCTGCTCAGAAGCTTTCTGGCCTGGCCTCCACGGCATGGCCATCAGGACACTGAACCCCCAGGCCCCAGGCCCGAGGATGGGAAACCACATTTCCCCCTAGCTTGCTAAAGGCAGGTTGGGACTTTTTAAAGGAACACCTCACTAAAGGGAAGAAGGAAAAAAGTGTAAACGCATAGGGACAGATGACTTAAGATGCCTGGATTTCTCTTCCAAAGTGCCAGATTAACCTGAGGGAGAAGACAAACATGTTTTGTTTGTTTAAGGCTTTTACTTATTTGAGAGATAGAGCACAAGCAGGGGGAGGAGCAGAGGGAGAGGGAGAAGCAGATCCCCACTGAGTAGGGAGTCCGGCTTGACTCAGGGGCTCAATCCCAGGACCCCAGGATCATGACCAGAGTGGAAGGTGGGTGCTTAACCTACTGAGCCCCCTCGGCATCCCAAAAGGTGATTATGTTTTGAACACCTACGATATGTCAGGCAAGAATCTAAGTATTTCATATACATTGGCTAACTTACTCCAATTCAAGCTTCACAACAGTTTTGTGAAATAGATTTTATGCCCATTTTATGAAGACAAGCAATGCCTGGGGAGCTTAAGGTTCTAAACTTCAGTTCCCATGGGTGGCTTGGGATTCAAACCCAGGTCCAATAGCATGACCAGTGCCAGTTCCACTGAGCTTGGATGTCCTGGCAGCCACTCACCTCGTCTGTCTTTGCTGGGAAATCTGGGGAGCCCTGTGCTAAAACACTTGGTTGTTTGTTTTCTGGTCCTGAAGTCTTTCCCTGTGTCTAGGACTCCTTCAGCTCTATGAAGCCCCAAAAGGGTGATCGGTTAATATCTCCTCTCCCCACCCGAAGGAGTCAACATTTCTGGGTCAACTTTGGCCCTTGACAGTCAGATTCTAAGACTCTTGCCTTTTTTCTCTTTTGTGAAGGAAAGTTTTGGCTTTCCTATTCAGTGTGACCAGCTAAGATGTGATTTTCAGAGGCCAGGCACTTGAGGGAATGGCACAGGCAGTCCAAAAGACCCAGACAAAAAAGAGATTTAGGGGAACATCTTAAGAACCCTCCAGGGCCACTGCTTACAGGCACATCAAGCCTTCTATGTAGCTAAAATCAATAAAAGTATAACCTCTGTTCTGTAGGGAGGAGAGTCCATGACAGTTATGAGATTTAAAAAGGCTATGTATTATACTAAATATTAGAAGCCACAAACGGTCCAAACCCTTCACGTAACCTTTGAAAAAATAGGGACCCAGAGTGTGAAGTGACTTTACTACAGGTCCAACAACTGGTAGACTTTCAACTTGCAGTCCAATGTTCCCTATGCTCTGCCACTAAAGAGACAAGCTGGGGGGCGCGGGGAGCTCAGGGTTGGCTCACCCAACAGGAGGGGACCACAGTCGTATTAAAAGAGGAAGTTGCCATGTCCAGCCAGGAGCAGCTGACATGTTATTGAGGCTCTGGGTCCTGAGCCCGGGTGCTCCCGACCAACCGCTGTCACCCTGAGCACTCTTTCCTCTTGTGAAGAGTTGTACCTCAGAGGTCCTGGGTGCCTTGGGACATATGGAGAGCAGTGTGTAGAGGAGAAAGATGGAGTTTGTTCAGAGAGTAAGGAGAGCTTGGGCCATAGTTCTCAAATTCTCTCGGCTCCAGCTATACTACGGGAATGCCCGCTCACCGTCCAACAGTCTGGCCCAGGGGTGGGTGTGGGGTGGCTGCTGTTTCATGCCCAGTGTCCCACCTCTTCCTGTCTCCCTGCCTTTGGCCCCCCTCAGGCCCAGAAGAAGCCACAGGGAGGCACATACCAAGCTCGAAGCTGCTTTTATTGGGGAGGAGGGGGACTGAAGGGAGTCCTCCCAGATCTAGCGCAAGTGCTCCAAACTTAGGAAAGAAATACAATAAATAGGTGATAAGTGGGGAGGGCTCTCAACGCAGGGAGAAGGGGCTCCGCTGGTCTCAACCCCTGGGCTTGTGCTGTGTGAGCTGGGGTGTGGGGTTCGATGCAAACTGGGGACCCGAGAGTGGATTTTTCAAGGTTCCAAAAAGTATCAGATCTGTCATCCTGCTTGGTCTCAGAAGTGTCTGGGTTGGGACCTAATGACTCATCTGAGGAAAGAAAAGGATTAAGGCGAGGCGGGTGCCCAGTGAGGGCTTCCCCGGGGCTCGTGGCAACCATCAGCCTAGAGCATGAAGTCAAGCCTCTGGGGCTGTATCCTGTGCCCAGGACCTGTCGCACTCCATTCTGGCCCAGGGCTGGGCCTGCGGGACTGTCCACCTAGCTTTGTCCCTCCCACCCGGGGAGCATCCCGCATTTCCTGTGGGGGTCAGGGGCCCCGGGTGTCTTCACCCCCAGCATCCTTCTGACGGCATCTAACCGTGCCAGGCCCCGTGGGGCCTCCTGTGGACACAGCATCTGCAGCTCTCCGGGTCTCAGGTGAAGCAGCTGGCTCCCTGTGAGGAACCTGAGGCTCTTCACAGTTCTGGGAACGAGAACGGGGAGCAGTCAGCGGCAGAGCGAAGGACCTGGGCCTGCGTATTTGGGGCTTGGTCTATTTTGGAGCATTGGATGAGAGGCTGTTTGGGCTTGGAGGCTGGGGTTGCAGGAGAATTCAGGGAATATGGTATCTGGAGGTGAAGAAGAAAGATTCACATGTTGGCTTAAACCTATTTCAGGACTCCAGGGTTTGACTCGAGAAATGCCCTGGAAGAGAATTTTGTGGTGGGAAGGGGTGGCTGGCAGCTGAAGTTCTTCCTGAGCTCCCGGGGATCCTGCTCTCTTCCCCAAGGCAGAGGCTTCTCATTTAGTGCTTTAGGCCAGGCATGGACACTCCCATTCTTCTGCTCTAACTCAGCAGGTGGGGGGCACTGCGGGTCTCTTCTGTACCCCATAGGTTCTGTGTCTCTGGCTTTCCTTGGCTATTATTTGAGTCCTTTGAAGAGGTTCTCCTGACACACCCTCTGTGGCTAGGCACTTACGTGGTGGAGAAGTTCTCAGCCTGCAGCCAGGCTCTGACCTCCTCAGGTGTTGAGCTAAGTCAAAGCATTGGAGCCTAAAATCAGGGGAGCTGGGGGTCAGAGGCCATCTCATTTTTTTAAAAGATTTTATTTATTTATTTGACAGAGACAGTGAGAGACGGAACACAAGCAGGGTGAGCAGGAGAGGGAGAAGCAGGCTTCCCGCTGATCAGGGAGCCCCATGGGGGGCTCTATCCCAGGATGCTGAGACCATGACCTGAGCTGAAGGCAGACGCTTAATGACTGTGCCACCCAGGTGCCCTCATCTCATTTCTACCCACAGCCCCCATCATCCGAGCCCCTGCTCTGGGTTCCTGTCAAATCACTTATCTCACTCCATGGTTTGCTTCTTTGGTGGGGGCAAGGCTTATTCTCTGCTTTGGCCCCATGATAAACTTGGCATGTAGTAAGCCTGTGATAGTACCGATGAACTTGAACCAGGACTATCCCCTCCACTTGTCATTGAATCCTTCCTGCTCCCACCCCCGACTTATAGTTTCTGGATAGTCTAGGCTGGGTGGTACCCGAGAAGGTGACTGGTTCTGGCTCCTGGAGGCCCTCTACTGTAGGGGCTCTAGGATGTTGCTGGGAATGTAGCCGGTCTGTCTCTTCTCATTCTTCACCAGCCACCACTGCTTGCTCTGGTCCAGGACCTGCCGAGAGGCACTACCTCAGTCACCTGAGCCTCTGTCCACACACCACACCCCAACAAGGCTTTCTTCCTTCCTGCCCTCCCCCACCCTTCTTCTTCCTATCTAGGCCACCCACCCCAGCAGCCACATACCTAGACCACCAACATCCGGCTGCCTATGAATCCCACCAACCACCACCTCCTTTCCTAGGCTCAAGCCAATGCCTCACCTCCAACACCTCTCCCTGGGCCACAGTCAGTTCCTGTGGGTTCCTGGCTTCAAACTCATATAGGACTTGCATTTTCAGGGCTGGCTTGACAGGTCTGGGGATGGAGGGCGTGTGGTTGGGGTCCCCAGGCTGAAGGCCACCGTGTGTCTCCTCTTGAGCGAAGTGGGAGATTCTCCCTAACTCAGGGCTTTCCCCCCTCCCCCCGACCACACACAGAGTCAGGATGGCTGGAGAATGGAACCATTAGAGACTGAGTCCCTGTCCCAGCCCCAGATATCTCCTGCCTGGAGTCTAGTGGTGACTTCTCAGCTTCTTCAGGGTTTAATGGCAGGTCAGTGTAAGACAGGGCTTGAGGTGGGGTCTCCCACAGCTTGGAGGGGTCTGAAATGTCACTGATTTCTGAAGACTCTGCTAGCACTGGACCCTTCTATGTCTGAGTTCTCCTCTGAGTGCTTTATACCTGAGCTCTGGGAAATCAGAGGCATGTGCAGGTTGTATGATGAGAAGGATTGGAGTCTGAGAAGGTAAAACACTGCTTTTCACCTAAGTTGGGCAGGGGGGCAAGTGACCAGCTCTAAGTGAGCCCAGAGGGTTTCTGAGTTGTAGAATCCATGGATCCACAGGGTCAGTCCTGCCCTTCCCTCCCCAGAATCATACTGTCCCTACTAAGCCCAGGGCGTACCGGAAGGAGGTAAAGTTCTGGTATCCTGAGGGTGCCTGTAGGGGAAAAAAAAGAGCGAGCAGGAGCAGGGAGTCAGCCAGCATGGTGGTCGGGAGCTGGGGTATCATACCACAGCCCTGCTCCCACACACCTGCCTCATATCCCCTCCCCTGCCTGGCGACCCTGTAGGTCCGGGTCCCTCTGCGAACCTACCTTCCACGTCATTGTCATGGTGCTGTGGTTTGGACTGAGAGGGCAGAAAGGAGCAAGAGAACAGGGCTTTGAGCAGGGCGATTTGCGAAGCTCCCCTTACCTGGCTGGAGGGTTCTGGAAGCTGCCAACCATCAGAAAATGTTGGTTGGTAGGGCGGGGGCTCAACGCCTGTCCAGTCGGCCCTGAGGAGAGAACAGAGCTCAGTCCACTCTGTGCCTGGCTGTTGGATGTGGATAGGGAGGAGACGGCAGGACCCAGCCTCGGGATCTTCTAGGGAAGGGGGGACATGGCCTGTGAGCACAGATAAAAGGCCAGACACCCATACGGGGGCACATGGTGAAGCGCGCACACCTCCCACTGTGTGGGGCTCTGCAGCCCAGCCTCACCCCACCTGTCAAGTGCAGATACATCCACTTATGTAAGAACAGGCTGGGTCCTTCAGTGAAAGGATAAGGGGTTTGGATCAAAGGGGTGGAACCACAGAGTGTCGCAGCTGGAAGACCGCCCTCACCTCGGGGCCTCGAGCAGGGCTTCTCAGACCTGTTTTTCATATCTTGGCAGCAGCTCTGTTTCCTTTGGCTAACTCGTGGGTGGAACTCCACCTCGAATTATAGGACCTGCTATGTTTGAGTCTAAGGTGGCGACTGCTCCTTGCTTCCCCACCTTCCCTCCCCCTCCTGGCCCACTGCACCACCACTGCTGGAAGAGGAATCTCTTCCAAGGGTCTGTCCCTGGGGAAACCCCGCTCACCTTGAGGAAACTCCCTCCCTCCCTCACCAGGCCAGAGGGGAGTATTCCTTCTGGAACGCCCCGGGGTTACTGCTCCTCTCCCACTGTATCTCATATGCTTCCCATATCTGTGTTTCTCACTCTCCGGAGCCCCTCTAGAGTGTCCCGAGTGCAGTGGGTAGTACATTGGAGGCAGCTAGTATCTACTAGTATCTACCCAACGGGCATGAATACACTATTCTTTTTCATTGGTTCCCTTCCTTTACCCTAAAAACATTCTCAAGTCTTCCCTTGACCCTGCTAATATTCCTTTCAGGCAGTCATTCTAGCACCTTCTCTTTTCTGAGGATGTGTCTATACACTCTGCCTACATTTTCTTACCTCCGGGTCTTTCCTTATTTTTTGCAACCTGATTTTTAGCTCTGCTATTACTCTATCAAAACTCATTCTTGGGGCACCTGGAGGCTTCGTTGGTTAAGTGTCTACCTTCGGCCCAGGTCATGATCCCAGGGTCCTGGGATCGAATCCCACAGAGTCCCACATCAGGCTCCCTGCTCAGCAGGGAATCTGCTTCTCCCTCTCTTTCTGCCCTTTCCCCCTGCTTGTGCTCTCTCTCTCTATTTCTCATGCTTTCTCTCAAATAAATAAAATCTTTAAAAAACAACAACAACAACTTGTTCTTCAAAAGTCCCAGTAATCTCCCAGTTGCCAAATACAATGGCCTTGTAGGGTCTATATGCTTCTAGATCACCACAGCATTTAGTGCCATTTGTAACTTCTGGTCAATTTGCCTATAAGCAAGTCACTTAAATATAATTTGCCAAAACTCAACTCGTTTGAGGGTTTTTACATCTTTTGGGTTAGTCTCTTTTCTGTATTGTCTTTCCATTCATCCATTCGTTGATTTTTGATTATTTGAAGAAACTGGAAAATATTTTAGGACACATCTGACTTCATTTTATATTTGAAATAATAAACAGGGACAGAGAAGAGAACAGAAATTACTGGGGACTGGGGAGAGGGAGGCATGGGTACAGAGTTTCTGTTTGGCATGATGAAAAAAGTTCTGGAAACAGCGGGGACAGTTACACAACACAGGGAACATAACCTAATGCTATTGAATTATATACTTTAAATGGTAAATCTTATCTTATGTATGTTCTCCCACAATGAAATCAATAAACGACACCGAGTTTTAATTCATGTCTTTAGACAGATGGGGTGAAAATTCTTCTAACGAGGCTGCACAGGGAAGGGCTGCCCATCAGACAGAAGACTCACTAGCACAACTGGCTGATTTCCTGGTTGACTCCTCTCTTTCTTTCTAAAACCCTCTTCTCTCCTGCATTTCATGCCTCTCCTTTTTTGTTTCTCCTTTTAACTCTGGAATTTCTCTTGGCCTCCTTGATCCTTTCCCCTCTTTGCCACCTGCATGGGGAAGTGTCCCTTCCTTTGTCTCCCAGGGGCTGGGGTGAGCCTTGATGGTTTAAGTGAGTCCCTGGGGCTCCCTCTGGAGCCCTTGCCCCAAGGGGCTCCAGATGTCGCTTCCGTGCTCGCTGTTCTCAAACCCACAGTCCAGCCAGGACCTCTCTCCTGTGTTCGGGGGCCCCTCACTATCTGGGGAATGTTTCACCGAAGGCCCAACTTGGTGCACCCCTGGCTGGTTCCACCTCCTGCCTGCTCCCCGAGGCCCTAGTCAGCGAGGCCTGACTGCGCTGTGGCCAATCTCATGGCCACATCGCGTAGTGTAGCTTTTTCTCTCTCCCCACCCTGGCCCACTGGTTGCTAAGTCTTAGTTGATGCGGCATCGGCAGCTCTTCCACCAGCAAGCTTCCAAGTCCGGCTGGATTGAGACAAAGTTTTCACTTTGTCCTTGACCAAAATGAGAAAATATTTTAATAGCAAGCAGGCTGCCAACTCTGCTTTCTTGGGAAGAGTTGTTCTTTCTTCCTTCAGTGGTGTGGGTGATGGTGAGTGGCCGACTTTTCGTTTTTGCTTTTTTTTTAACTGTTTGTACTTAGTCTAATAAAAAGTTGGGAACTCCATGTAGAGTCATCCCAAATTTGTTTTGCGTTATTTCTGACGTGTGACAACGTAGAGCCTGCCATCTCCAATGTCCTGCCCAATGCCCCCACGCCCAGGCCTTGTCCTCACTCACCGGCTGGTGGTCCAGGCCACACCCAGCCTCTTCCAGAAGTCAGTCTCAGCGGGGCTGAGGCAGGACTGCAGCAGGTCTATGGCTTTGGGGGTGAGGAGTGGGGAGATCACTTGGGTTGCTAGGCCAGGCTCAGGGCAATGGGCCAGGATCTAGGGGAGGGATGGAAGGTGTCAGGAAGCTGAGGCTCTCCCAGGGCCAGACAGGAGGGGGAAGGGGCCCGCAATTCTGGGCTTCCCTCTCTTGTAACCCCATACTGCCTCAGGCCTCCAGCTCCATTCCTGTCTCCCTTGATCCCTGGTGTCCTCGCACTGACCCAAGCCCATCTTGCCTGTTGAGGGGTTCTGTACACAGCAGGGGTGGTGTCTTGGAGTCAATGAGGATGCCGTATTGTGGGGAGCAAGGTGCAGGCCCCACAACCTTCCTCTGCCCCCTGCCTTCTGCCCTGGCCTCTGCTCTGTCTTAACCTCAGCCTGGCCTTCTTCGTCACCCTATGGTCCCCAAACTCACAGAGTCTAGAAGTTGGAAGAGGATGTGCACGAATTCAGGGGCGTTCCCCTCCTGCAGCCAGGTGGCCAGCTTCCCCTGGGGACACAGCACATTATGGGCTACTACCCTTCATCCTTCCCCACCTTCCCCAGGAGCCCAGGACCCTGTAACTGTTCAGGGGTTTGGGGGGGAGCCTGGCACTCTCCAAATGTCCCAAGAGGAGGAGGGGAGGTTCCCAGGGGAGAAGCTGGAGAGGGAAAGGACTTGGGGTGTCTCCAAGACCAGAGAGAAGGTGGTTGCTGGGGTGGGATGAGGGGAGGGCTGTGGACTTGCAAAGAGTCACATACTAGGAGGTTGAAGCTGTACTTGATCTTCTGGAAGCAATCCGTGTACTGGGCCTGTGTCATCACTACAGGGGAAGGCAAAGGTGGTGGGCTGTAGATCATCCCAAAACCACGCCCCCACCTTCCTCCCCTCCCCTGCTGCCCTCAGCACTCACCCCACTGATTCTTGCCCTTTTTCTTCCCCAGTTTCTTCTTCTTATGATTGTTCATTCCCTGGGCCTCCTTCAGCTTTCCCGTAAACAGCTCGATGTCCCTAAGGACGTGGCTTAGTATCTCCTGGACCCCAAACAACCATGCCCTTGAGTGGCCAGTTGGGCCCACCCTGCGACTCCCCTAACCTTGCCCCCGACCCTCTCCCACCTCCAACCAGAGTCTCAGGCCCAGCCAAGGGTCTGTTCAAGCCTCCCTGTTCCTCCTCAATCCCAGGCCTGCCGTGGCCATCCCGGGCCCAGACCCATAGAGCCTCAGCCAGCTCAAGACCACCCCCAGTTACCTCATCCCTCTCCAGATTCTTGGGGGATGGAGGCTGCAGCGGAGGAGGCAGAGTGATGGTGCCTGGTTCTCGGACACTGGAATTGCGTGCCAGGAACCTTGGGGATGGTGGTGTGCCTGCAATGGAAGGGGACCATGGCCCAGAACATTTTTGATCTTTGATCCAAAACTTCTTTCCATCTGCCCTCATGCCCCACACTTACTGCACCCTGCGGTCATCCAGTAGGGCTGTTCTGGAGGGGACCCCTGCTCCAGTGGGGGTGCCTGCTCCTTGGGGAATGACCTTTCCAGAGGAAGCCCCCTCCATCTGTCTTGGCTGGGGCGATGGGCTCCAGATGGGGGTCTGCTGAGCACAGGATGGGAACACAGCTTAGACGGGGCTCTTGGGACAGAGGCTCTGCCCTAGGATCAAGGGCAGCACCACCCTCTCCAGGAGAGCCACCTGCTCTGCTCCCTGGTCTCCATCTGGATTCACCCTACCTCATCTGCCTGCCCTGTGGGCCATCTCGGTCCCATGTCAGTCTCCCGGCACATCTCCAGGGTTCCTTGGGCCCAGTCCCAGCTCCTCCCCCGTGCCCATCTGCACCCTAGCCCCAGACTGGTCCCTCCCCAGTTCCAAGCCCAGGTCAGTGGAGCCACAGGCTCCTAGGATTTCCCAGAATTAGGGCCAGGGCCTGACCTACCCAGGCCCAGGCTCTGAGATCCTGCAGGTGGGCAGGGGACACAGACCGCCTACCTTTGCTGTTGCACCTCCTCCAGGGCCCTCTGCAGGATGGTCCTTAGTTGCTCTGCCTGGAGGAAGTGGCAATCAGGCAGGCTGTATGTGTGTCGGCGGTGGGAGGTTTTCAGGGGGACCCTGTACCCACTTCCTCCCCAACGCCGCCCCTGGTCCCTCACCCCCACTTCCTGGCACTGGAAGAGCAGAGTGCTGGTGGCTGGCAGGCCTGACTCCTGCACCGTGATGGACAGGATGGAGTTGTAGGAGCAGGTGTTGAGTGCCGTGTCCATGGCCTGGATGCTGTCCAAGCAGTAAGAGTCCAGCTCCTCCTGGGCCAGACAGAGAGTTCGGCCGTGACGTCACTGAGCAGTGGGGTGGCTACTGGGAACTCCTAACCTGGGCTGCCCCAGATCTCCCTGTGGCCCGGGACAGGGTGTCGTCTTCCCTGACCCTGATGCTTCTGTCCCCCAAGCCTCCCTAGGCCTGGGTGTGTACTGTATATGGGGACAGGTAGCTGCTGCTTGGGACACAGAAGTGGTAGAGTCCATGCCCCATGCTGGCTTCTCCAAAACCCATGTGTGCTGTGACCCACTGCCGAGTCTGGTGGGGTGGGGGGTGCTGACCTTTGTCTCAATGTCCAGCAGCTGGAACCAGCCATCTCTGACCTGCAGGAGCAAGTCTTGGCTCCACACCCGGCCCTGGGCATCCATCTCCTGCAGCTTCCTCAGGGCATCCCTGGGGTCCTGGACTTTATGCGTCCCCAGCTTACATGTCATCAGGTGCTGAGGGGAAAGGAGGTTTGGAGAGAGGGCACGCAGGTGGTGGTGGGCAAGGCTGGGGGAAAGGCAGCAGAGGATGTGTTCCTGGCCTCCTTGTCGGGGAGGTCCCAGGCCATCCCCATAGAGAAGCCTTCAAGGGCCGATGGGAGACCAGGAGCAGCTGGGCTAGGATAGGGCCCCGGGAGTCAGGGTCAGATGAGCTGTGCCAGAGCCTTCAGGACTCTGGAGGAAGGATGTCATGAAGGATGTCGTGGCCCTTACCAGCCCAGGCCAGCAGAGGGGGCTGTTTGGTGGTAGATGTGGGCTCTAATAACCCAACAAAAAAAGTCTGAACTCCTCTGGGCTGGATATAGGACCCGCAGATTCTGTCTCTGGGTTTCTTTGCTGCCTTTGGGAATCCACCATCCCAGCCTGGTCCTTCCCCTCACTGCCCGAGCATTTCCTGCCTCCCTGCCTTGGCTCACGCTCTTCCCCATGCCCAGAAGGCTTTTCCCACTTCTGCTAGTCTAGCCCTTTCCCGTCTCCCAGGAAGATCAAGAGCTCCCCCTCTGAGTTTTGCCTGATGAAGGCCATGGTCATCTCGGTCTCACTCAGAGCCTTGCCCCGTGCGAATCCTATCATCCTGGTAGGTGTTCTCTGTTACTCTCCTTCCTCGAGGAGACCCCTCCCTTCTCCCATCCAAATGCCACCTTCAAAAGCCGCAGTCCTACCCCTTGCCCTCTCCTCCAGGCCCTTGCTGGGGGGCCACCATTACCTCCTGCTCCTGATGCCCCGCTCTGCTCTCTGCCCAGCCCTCAGCGCCTCTCTGGGTGTTCATGCTGCCTACATGTTCTGGGTTGCCTACACGACCTCATGCACATCTGGGACACAGCTCCTCTTGCTCCCACCTGCCAGGTCTCATGGACCCAGTTCCCAGTGAGGCCCAGGACTCCACCTGGCTGAGGGGTGGGGAGCCCCGCCCCTGCTGCCCTGCAAGCCTCCAGACCACTGCCCCTGTGTCCCTCCCTGCTTCTTCCCCCTGAGAGCCTAAATCTGCTGTCTGCCCCCAGTGTGTCAGCCTGATGAGGTGTCTGCTCGTCCCCCCAACAGCCTTCCAGCCTGCGCTTGCCCTGTGGTGTCTGCAGCCCATCAGGCCACCAGATCTCACAGTGCCCGTGCCATCTGCCTGCACAAGCGGGGCTGGAGCCTTCCTTTCAGCCCCCAAGTAGCGCACGCCTGCCCTGGGGGCTCTAGCCCAGACCTCTCCCTGCTGAGACAGGGATCTGCTGGAGTCCTTGCAGGGACCGCTGTCCTCCCACAGGCCCTCCTCCTGCCGCCGTGCTGGGTTCTGGTCAAAGAACACTGGCCCAGGGTTACTCACCTCCACCCTGTGCTGCAGACAGGTGGGCTCAGAGGAGATGGCCTGCAGGTAGTCCTTCCGCTGCACTGCAGGGGAGTTAAGCAAGGGGATGGAGGGCAAGGAACCCAGGGGGGGGGGGGGGGGGGTGGTCAGTGACGGGGGGGGGGGGGGGGGGGGGGGGGGGGGGAGACCCCTGACAGTGGGGGTTCCAGGATGGAAGGAGAGAGCAGACCAGAGGGGGCGCTTACGGTAAATGGCTCTGCTGCTGGGCCGGGACATGCTGGCACAGTGAGAGGACTTCCAGAATCTACACTGAACCACAGAGACAGCCATCAGGGCTGGGGAGGAAAACACAAGGGCAGAACCGGGCAGGAGACACGCTCTTGCAGCTCGCCCCTCGCTCAGGCCTGGGGCCTCCAGGACCAGATCCAAAACTTCTGGCTCCAGGGGCCTTTCTGGAACCATCTGCAGCCTTGAGTTCCTCCAAGGAGCCCCATCTCGCCTGGGCCGGGGAGGCTCAAGGCAGGCTCCTGGCAGGCTCCTGACCTCCCATTTTTTTGGTCACTAAGGCTCCTTCCCTTGGGCTCGAGAAGGCCGTGTGGACAGGCACCTGGGAACATACCCTGTCTTGGGCCTGAATGTGAAAGATGCCAGGTCCATGGGCTGCACCTAGCTTCTGGAGGAAAGGCGGCAGGTACAGCAGCCTTCCTTGCCAAAACAAGCCTCTTGTCCAAGCCTGTTTCGGTTCTGCAAATCCGGAAGAGGTCGATGTTGCCTCTTAAGCTGCGGTCGAACTTAGGAGGGGTGTGTTGTGTGTGTCTATCTGTTTGCACACTTTAATCACGGGGCTCTGTAGGATTTGTCAATGATCTGCACCTCCCTGAATGTCTTAGATAATCAAGACTCCTGTCTCCTCACCTTTCCATACTCTGAACCCTCTGCCCAGAGCCTCTCCCTACTCAGCCCTTGAAATCCAGCTCAAGGATCACCTCCTCCGTGAAGCCCCCCCTTGACCACCACTCTCCCCTGCCCAGAGTGCCCTCCCGATGCCACGGCCAACCTTGTATGTTTCTCACAAAGATAGCCACTCTGGTTAGCGTGCGAACCTGGGGCTGCACCCCTTACAAACACCGTATTTCACTTTCATTCCCATTGCTTGGACTTCTTTGGCTCTACGCACTGTTCTATGGACTTCACCCTCATCAACTCACTTAGTCCTCAAAACCCCCTCACCCGGAGGGTGCTGTTATCGTTCCATTTACCCGATGGGGACTCTGAGGCTCAAAGAGGGTAGCAGGCTTGAGGTCACCAGCGAGTATTTCCTGGAGAATGAGCCTAGCCCAGTCTGGCTGCACACTCCAGGCTTTAACTGTGTAGATATATCTCTGCCACAGGGCTGTGACCTGCAGAGGACAGACTTGTCTTGCCATGGCTGTCTCCCCAGTGCCTTCCCAACATGGGGCGGGCGGGGGGGTTGTCTAGAATACACACAGGTTGAAAAGCAATGGAGGTAAGTATAGTGCGTGTGCATGCGTGGGTGGGGGGGGAGTGAACTGAGCATGTGGGTCAAGGGTAAGTGTCACTGGGATGACATGTGTATGCATCATGAATAGGGTATCAAGTCTGTGGGCACGATGCATCTCCATGGTGTGTCTGGGTTGTTCAGAAACCCTGAAATATCCCGGGCAAAGTATAAGAGAGCAGCCCACACCTGTTTATTAGGACTGTTATGAAAATAACAGAGGTTCTGATAAGATGACTCAGGGATGGGGAAATCAGTTGCTAGGAAACGACTGAGGGATTGTGGAGGAGGTGGCTGGCTCTGTTTTCCTTGTTTGGGAGCACCCAGTCTCCTTGGAGGGGACAGGGCTGCTGGAAGCCTGCTCTTCCCCACTCTACCCCCCAGGGTGCAACACTTCCTGCTTCAGGTCCGGAAGAGAAAGAAGAGAAAATGAGCTCTGCCTTGGTCAGCCCTACTCCCCTCCCCCCATGCCAGTATGTGGGTCCACGTGCGCAGGTCTCCCAGAACTGTCTGAAGCTCAGAATCGCAGATGACAGAAGAGGGGAGGCAGCTGGTTTTGGCCTGCTTTCCCCTTGGGGGAGGAGGGCTGTGGCCACCTAGTTGCCCCCATGTATCCCCTGAACTTAGGGGCTTGGCTCAGGGAGGGCGTGTCTGCATCACAGACCCTGGGAGAAGAAGACCAGAGATGCTTCTGGAATCCAGGCTTCTCCTGCCCTGCTTCCGAGCCAGCTAACCAGCCTGAGTCCCAAGCCTTTCTTGGGCTTGCTCTTCCTGGCAGCATCTGGGAACGGGCTGGAGACCTCAGCGGGGAAGACGTGGACTTGTTCCCACCACCCAGGATCTCCTGTGGCTGAGCGGCAACCCCTGCCCCCCATCTTCCTGAAGGCCAGGTCTTACCTGTGTCCTGGTGAGGTTTGTCTCCCCCGCAGGGGCTGCCGTTTGAGCCGGTGGTGGGAGCACAGTGGCTTCTCTGCCAGCAGCCACAGACAGAGGCCCTGTGACCGGCTGGCCTTGGCTGAGCCAGCAGGCCTTATGGTGATGACAGCATGAGGCAGCCACACCTGTGCTCTTTGGACTCCGGTGGGTGTGGTGGCTTCGTAGGCCAGCACCCACTCCACACGGAAGCCGGGACCTATGGCAGTGCCAAGCTTAGCCAGGGTCCCCCCAGGCCCAGCCTCCTCCTCTGCTCTCCCCCAGTGTTTGGGTGTGGACTTCTCTTCCTCTGCCTTTTGGGTTCCTCTGCTGAGGGCCCCAGTCTACCTCAGGCACTAGGGCTGGGGCTAGAAGGAGAGGGCCCCTTGGCCAGGGAGGCCTGGCTTCTGTGGTCAGGGGACAGGTGGTTAGAGGTGGCCCCCTAGGGTTTGGGGCACCTGTGCCCGTGGAGGTGCGGGTGCCACATGCATGGATGCATGATTGCGCATGCTCAGTGGTGCCCGTGAGTGGGACAGGGATCTTGGAAGAGCTGATGGGGACCGGGGGTGGGGGTCACCAGGGGGTATTACAAGGAGGGCTGAGACTCTCCCGGCAGTGCTACCTCATTCTGTCCTTTATTCTGTCTCCTCCCACCAGCAAGGAGCGCCCCCTCACCGTCCTTGCTCTTCCACTCACTTCTCACACCCCGCCCAGCCAACACTGCCCTGGATGGTCTGGAGTCCAGGGGTTAGATCCTGGACAGGGCCTTCCCCACCTGCAAGAGTCCATCAGGCACCTGCTTTAGGGGCCCTGGGCCAGCCCCTAGCCATGGCCTCATGGGACCTGGCCCTCCAGGCCTCCCTGGGGCTCAGCCTGTTGGTCTTCCAGCTTCTTCCTGGATAGGACAGCCTGTCACCCTGCCTCCTCCAGTCCCAGCCCCAGCTTCATCAAGGCCATAGCCACATTCCACCTCCGGCGCAGGCCCCAGTGCCCAGCTAAGTCCATGCTTCTGCCCCGCTCAGGATGAGCCTGCCCTTCGCATACTCCTCCCCTGATGTCAGTACAAGGACAGGAGACTCTCGCCCAGAGGACTGTGGGCAGGGGAAGGGGAAAGGCCCACCGCAGAGATAAACATGAATCTTAGGCCAGAGAGACAAGGAGCACCACCTGGCACTGTGGGCTCTTGCTCTCCACAGTGCCCTGTGGGGTGAGGGGGGGCCCTTGGGAACAGTGTGGGCTTCCCCAGACAGGAGCCCTTTGCGGCCTGGGTGCGGCTGGCCCCAGGCCTTTGTGTCAAGCACTGAGGACATCTGCCCGAGGGGAGCCCTCCAGGGAAGAGGGGACTTAGGAGGGACAGAGAGGCCAGACCATCCGCCCCGGGGATGTGGGGGCCATTACTGGTGCTTTTGCACAAAGAAAACTCCAGGTACCAAAGTATTTCTTTAGTGAAGTCATCCTGGCTGGAACTCAAAGGACATCTCCTTGAACTATGAGGCCAGGAGGGTTTGGATCTCATTCACTCACTCACTCACTCACTCCCCAGCTCTATATGGGGGGCTTCCCATTGGCCGGGCCCCTAGCTAGATGCTAGGAGATACCTTGGGACTCAGCCCGAGTTCAGTGTCTCCCTCTAAACAACCCAGCCTCACCACCCATGTACCCAGCCCCGTGGAGGCACCGATATCCAGCCAAGTGTCCAAGCAAGGATGTGCCTGGTCTGCTGCCTCCCTGGAAGGCCCTGCCACTCATTGGTTCTCAGGGCCTAGAGAGAGGCTGCCACCGAGTGGGGGGTAGGGATAGACCCAGGCACATAGGCTTTAGGCTGAAGAGGCCAAGGAGTACCCCTTCCAGGCGACCCCGGCCTGGGCCTCTCAGAAACTCCAGAGTGGGCCCTGCTCAGTGCCAGGGAACTCTGCTTGCATGAAGGGCCATCAGGGAGAGAGGACAGACTCCGGGATTTGGGGACAGAGGCCTGCTTGTGGCTGAAAGTCACAGAGAGCCTGAGGCTCGTGGAAGCAGAAGCTGGGAAGGGTCCTGCCAGAGCTCTTGCTAGCCCACTCCATGGGTGATGTCAGATAGGGAGCTGGAGCCTGAATCGTGGCCATGGCCAGGAACTGATGCTTAGGTCCTGGGGCTTCGAAACAGACCCCATCTCTGCCACCGCTGCCTCCAGACCCAGCACCTGGGGGCAAGTGGCTTCTAGGAGCCAGGCAGAGGAGTCCACGAGAGACATCGCGCCTGCCATTTGGAACTTTCATTCCAGAGGTAGAAGAAATGAGCAGATACAAGGTAATCAAAGCTCTGATAAGCGACAAGAAGGAAGCCAGCGGGGATGACGTGATTGAAGGCATGGGTGTGGGAGGATACTTTGGATGCCTATAATCAGAGAAAACATCTCTGAGGAGGGGAACTTCGAGCTGAGATAAAGCATTTGAGAGGAGACTGTGTTGCGAAGTACCCATGGAAGGAGGGCAATGAGACAAAGATGTGGCAGCTAGAAAGGCCGCTGGGAGACTGGAGCTGAATGGGTGCCAGGATAGGCGTGCCACCGTGGTCTGCATCGGGGCAGGTGGGGGTAGGCCGTAGTCAGAGTGCCCCAGGCTCTGCAGGCTGGGAGTCTGGCTTTTATTTCAAAGGCAGTTGGAAGACGCTGGGGGCTTTTGAGTGGAAGAGTGGTGTAGTTTGATTTGTGTTTTAGGAGAATAGGCTGCAGTGGGGGTGTGGGCCCAGTGAGACCGATGGGCAGCTCTAAAGCCATGGGGAGGAGGCAGAGGCCGGTGAGCATGTAGGTGAACTGTCTGGGGAGCACTGTGGTGGTGGAGAAGGGCCCTCTGGGGGAGGGACT